CCGCGTCCCCCGACGGCTCCCCCGCTCTCTGGGGCGGATAATTACGCCCGGCTCGCCTGTTCTCCCTTGTTTAAAGTTTGTTTTCTAAATGTCTTCTATTAGATTATGCTCGTTCATTCCCCCTCCAACCTTATCTCCTTCTGTCTCTTCTCTCCTTGCCCGTCACACTCGATTTAGGCACGAGTTTATCTGGCAAACACTTTGCCGACTTTGTTTATTTACCGCGGGTTCTGGGGCTGCGCGCGCGCGAGCGCCAGTGTTTGCCTTTGTAACAGTTATCTCCTCGTTGTTGTTCTTCCTTAGTCTCCGCTCCCTCCTGCCCCCCTCTTCTTCGGTTGGGGGGATGGAGGGAAGAAAAGGGGGAGCCTTGTCAGCCCAGTGTGGGCTCGCCCCCTCGCCGGGAGCCCCCTCCTCCGGGATGTGGCGCGCCCCGCACCCCTCCCGCCCCATCCCCCGCCTGGGCCGCCGGAGCCTCGCGGCCCCCTCCCTCCTTCCCTCTGGTCTCTGAATATCCACCGCCGAGCGCTGCCTAAAGCCGGGGAATTGCCTGACACCCTCCCATCTTCCTCGGAGCCCCCATTATGCGAAGCTGATCCCACTCTGAACAGCTTCAAATCCCGCCTGGACTCTGTTTGATTAGATTGCCAACCCGGGGTAATCCTTTGATTTGGTGGAGTGTCAATTACCTTTCTCTAAACACACATTTACAGAGGAGAGAACTTGTTGGTTTAAATCAATGCAGATTGCTTCTTGATAAATGGACTATCTGCTTCCCCTCCCTCGCCCCCTCTCCCAAGGCCTCTGCTCCCTCCGGGACCCCTCCCTTTGCCGACTTCACCTAGACCACTGACAATGTCCCTTCCAGGTGTAGAGCCCGGGAGGGGGGGGGGAAGTGTGGGCTAAGGGGAGCCGGGCCCCCCTTCCCCTATTCATTCGCTCCCCCGGAGCCTAATTAAATTTGGCAGGTCCTTGTACACACAATCAAAACAGCTTCCTCCAGTGTAGCAAACCACCGAAAACCGCATTAGCGCTATCGCTGCTGCCAAATTAAATTGTTTCCCACCTCCCTTTACAAGTGTCTAAAACCCACACTCCGGGCTCTCCCCTCCTTCCCCATCTTCCCCGTCACTTCCCACTCCACACCTGTAAGTTTACAGCCTTAAAAATAAATTAAGGATAAAAGCAAAGAAAAACAAATCTGGCTCACCCCCTCCTGGACCCCCCCCCCACACACACACACCTCCCATGATAGTCTTTCAGACCGGGAAAATCTGCAGATTCTCCAAAGGGGACTCTGACTCAGAGTTTTATTCTGGCCACAAGAAAGTAACTCCGGTAACTTTGCTCAGGGTCCAGGTTCACTGTAACCTCGCTGGGCTTCAGGTCCTAGAGGCCAGAGTGGAGCCTGGTGTCAGATCTGGTCAGCTGCGGTTTCAACTTGTGCACTGACAGCTGCCCACAGCTCTAGGTTACTGTTGGTTTCTGTTGCTATTGTTGTTTACATTATTGCTGATTTCTTTACACACACACACACACACACACACCCCCAGCCCCCAGCTCCTACAAAGGAAGCGGTTGACCCTTTGCAAGCCCCTATCAGATTCCTCACAAGAATCTCTGAGCTCAGATTCTGGGAATATTTTTTTTTCTTCCTCTTTGCTCCTCAGACCTTCTTCCTGTTGGCTCCATGGCTGGCCTGCCTACCCCCTGATCCTTGTGTAGAGGAGAGCATCTAAGTGGACAGGGGTGGGGCGGGGAGGGAGGGATGGTACAGAACTGTCCACCCTCCTCCCCAGGTGAGCAGGGCTTGGCTGGAGCACCCATCGGCAGTGGTCTGAGAATTCATACAACCAACAATCCTAATAACTCAGTCTTAACAAGGATAAGAGCAAAAAAGAAAAAAAAAAAAAAAAAAAAAAAA